CAGAAATGCAGCCATCTAACTTCTACCCATTTAACTTACTGCATTAGAATCTGCGTTTACACAAGATCATCAAGTGTTCTGCCTATATATTAAAATTTTAGTACTGACATAGGTAACTGTGTTCAATCTTGCCCCTCTAATAAGTCATGGAGAATTACCCACCCAAAGAACAGAAAACCAGAACAACTCAAACCCACTGCGATCAAGTCTATTCCGACTCCCAGACACCCTACATAGGGTTTCCAAGACTGTAAATGTTTACAGGAACACAAAACCTCATTTTTTCCTGTGTAGGGGCTGGTGGATATGAACAGCTTACCTTGTGGTTAGCAGCCCAACATCTAACCCATAGTGCCACCAGGACAAAAGGGGGGACCATTTAAACACTGGCTCCCATATTCCACTGATTAACATCCTTTCATTTCCCAGTATGCATGTATGAGAATTGTTAAACTGCAAATATCCCAGGTAGAGCAGCAGCAAAGTTTCAGGACAGAAAAGAAAAAAAAAATGTATGTGATGTAACTAAGAGAAAGTGCTATTAAATCACACTGGTGTGCAGCTTGATGCTGCACCAATGACTAGAGAACAAAGACAGGCCTGGAGAGTAGGAGGTGAGGTCTCATGGGTATCCAAAACACTGACAACACACTTTACAATGGAGCACTATTTTTTAAGCTGCAGTTTCCTCCTCTGAAGCAACCTAGAGAACTCTATTTAGTGGGTCCCAACCAACATTTTTGTTTGTGTTAAGTGCTAAAGAGTCAGTTCCAAATCACAGCGACCCTGTATGGAGTTTCCAAGGAGCAGCTGGTGGGTCTGTACTGCTAACCTTGTGATTAGCAGTACAGTTCTTATCTTACCATGCCACAGTTGTTGTTGTTGCTGTTAACTGTCAGTGAGTCAGTTCCGACTCATAGTGACCCTGTGTAGGGTTTCAAAGGAGGTGGGTTTGAATCAATGACTTTACAGTTAACAGTCCAGTGTTTATCCTACAGTGATACACCAGGAGGCCAACCAGCATTGTTGATGGTGTTAGGTGCTGTCTGGCTCCCACTCATAGTGACCCTATGCATAACAGAATAGAACACTGCTCCTCCAGTTCTGTGCCATCCTCACAACTGTTGTTACACTTGAGCCCACTGTTGCCATTACAGTGCCAATTCATCTTGCTAAGGGTCTTCTTTTTCGCTGATCATCCGCTAAACCAAGCACAATGTCCTTCTCCTGATAACTGATTCCTCCTGATAACATGTCCAAAGTATGAAAGACAAAGTCTCAACAACCTAACTTATATGGAGCATTCTGGCAGTACGTCTTCCAACACAGACTTGTTTGTTCTTTTGACAGTCCATGGTACTTTTAATATTCTTGTCCATAATTTGAATGCATCAATTTTTCTAAGGTCTTCCTTATTCCTTGCTCAATTTTTACACGTACATAAGGCAACTGTAAATACCATGGCTTGGGTCAGGACCACCTTAGTCTTTAAAATGATACCTTTGCTCTTGAACACTTCAAAGAGTTCTTGTCCAGCAGATTTGCCTAAGTCTTTGGCAACATCAATCTTTTCTCCCCTTAACATAATGCTGTTTATTGGTCCAGTTGTGAGAATTTTTTTTTCTTTACACTGAGGTGCAATCCAGTGTAAAGGCTACAGATTTTGACCTTAATCAGTAAATATTTTGTCCTCTTCATTTGTAGAAAGCAAGGTTGTATCATCTGCATATCTCAATATAATTGTCTGATTCAAAATGGCCAATACTAGTCCATTTCAGAACACCAATGCCTAGGATATCAATCTTTATGCATTCCATTTCATTTTTGAAAATTTCTAATTTTCCTAGATTCATACTTCATACATTTCATGTTCCGATTATTAATGATATTTCTCCTCATTTTGAGTTATCCACATCAGCATATGAAGATCCTGAAAACTTTTCTCCATTCATGCCATCACAGTCAACTCTACTTTGAGGTGGTAGATCTTCCCTAGTTGTATTTGAGTGTCTTCCAAAATGCGGGGCTCATTCTGGCAATTTATTTGATAACAACATTCTGACGCCATTCATAATGTATTAATTTTTCAGAACTGTATCTGACAATGTCCTTCTGCTATTCATAAGGTTTTCAGTGGTTAACCATTCAGAAGTAGTCTGCCTTTCCTTCTTTCTAGTCTGTCTTAGTCTGGAAGATCCATTGAAACCTATCCATTGTGGGCCATCCTGCTTGTATTCCACATACCAGTGGCATAGCTTCCAGCACCACAGCAATATACAAGCCACTACAGTATGACAAACTGACAGTACTTACTATCTGTAAAATAAAAATCAAACTCCTTAATAAGACATTCATGAATGATTCTTTCCCATCTATTTTCAGCCAGACTTTCCATAGACTCATTTGTTCTCCTTTCAGTCACAACAGATTATTAGGACTGTTCACGCATCAGGCTGTTGGTCAATTTTAAAGTCTGCCATGAATATCCTAACTACTTATTTATTTTGAAATTATACTGTATCTTCAGAAACATTACTTCGCTCATGTTTCTGGTCAGAATCAATTGTTTTCCCCTCTGTGTTCTCAAGGAGGAAATTACTTTTCTTCCTAAATGATAATTTAGCTTATTCATTTATTTACACACTTGACAACACATACTGAGTTCTTAGTATATGCTACGTACTTCTGCAAGGCTGGTACTATGATAGTAAATAAGACTGACATGAAACTTAATGTTAATATTCTTCATAAATATAACTTTGATTTTAGTTATTATCTAAATGTCCATTTTCCCATCAGTTAGTAAGGTCCTTGAAGTCAAGCTCCACATATTCAAAAACAACATGTATCTATCATAATATGGTTTTAAGACCTGGCTTTATATTTAGTGACATTGTAACCTTTAGTAAAACACTTAGTTCTCCGATTCTCTTCCTTATCTGTGAAACAGAGGTATAATAATAGTACCTGTTTTATATTGTTAAAAGTTTTTTTTGAACTGTAAAGATATATAAGAACCCATTAAGCAATAATAATAATAGCTATAAATAAATTTTTCTAATTCTATTAAACTGAATTATAGCAGGGCCTATTGTTTACCTTCATGATTAGGAAGTAACCATTCTATAACTAAGGAAACTGAAATGCAAAATAGTAAACAACTACAATGTTGCTCATTAGCTGATACCCAGATTTACATTTATTTTTGCCATGGTATCTCATGAGCTTATGGCCTACATTTATTTTTCCAGTTAGATCCAGATACTTCTCTGTGTAACCTACTATGTAGTTCTCATTCAGAATTCAATTAGGGAAACAAAATCTAATTTATTCCTAATTTATATAAATGGTTACAGGAATGTTGGCGCTAGTTAAATAGTCTTTGTATCTGATGCTATAGTTTGAAATTGACAGGGCAGGCAGTTGAGAAGGAAAGATTGATGTAAAGTGGGGAAAAGCAAGGACAAGCTCGTCCAACAAGAGTATGAGCTGAAACCCACAAGGATGAACTGGAACTGTGTCAGTCATCACTGCCTCTGACCTTGATTATCTATGTCAACAAAAATATACTCATATAAAAAAGGATATGAATATATTGTATCCTAACTGTTGCCTAAGCCTAACTTGGGTTGTTAAAGCTTTCCATTGATTTTAACCATAGAGCATGGGAGTACTACATTCCAGATATATTCCTCCTTACCTATATTTTATAGCTATTGTGGTTAAGTGCTGTCAAGTTGGTTCCAACTCATAGCAAGCCTGTATATGGTTTACAAGGAGTGGCTGGTGGGCTTGAACTGCCAATCTTGTGTTTAGCAGTACAGCGTTTATCCTACAGCTCTATACTTTAATAGTTAGGATCAATTTATCAGTGATCTTGCAAATTTGCCTACTCACTGGCATGGCGAGCCTAAATAGCTAAGAGACCGTCTTAAGTACCAGTTTAATGGAATCAATGTTGTGTTCACTGGTGGAAGCAGTTTTCTCTTTGAAGGAACACCTCTAGGTCAGCAGAACATAAGGCTGCAGAGACACTTTACTACAGTTAAAACTGTGTGGAGCCATTCTTATCTCCACACCTTACTTTCAAGATCCATAAATCCTGGCTATAGTGAAATAACATTATATTTTGGACACTGGTTTACAGCACATTCCTCATCCTGAAGAATGTAACCCCAGGTTTACAAGGTCTTGCCACCTCGCTAGCACTATAACTGAGTCTTCAAAAGACCATGTTGCCACTCTGTCAAACCAGTTCCTTTAGGATCATGTAGACCATGGTTAAGTCCACTGCCACACTTCATTTACTGTGAATTAAGTTCCTTAATTAGAGATAGTTGTTGTTAAGTGCCATTGAGTCGGTTCTGACCCATAGAGACCCTGTATATAGGGTTTCCAGCTGGTGAGATTGAACCACCAACCTTATGATTCAAACTGACTTTGCAACCAGGTGCATTGATATGCTGTGTGAAATATGAGGATGGTGGATAAGGCATTCTGATAACTCACAGGTGGTGGTTCTAGCAGAAGCACAGCAGGCAATGAAGGCAAATCCATGTCCAGAACAAACGTCTATTCTAGTGAAAACAAAGTACTGCCCTTTTTTCCATGAGGAAGTGATGCAATGTAATCAATTTGCCTTGGGGAATGATGTCATATAGGTTTCAGTGTTGTACCTACATCCACTTGGTGAGTGGTGAGAGGACATCTATATTGCTGAGTCAATGTATAAACTCCATCTTGACCAGGTCCCTTTTGTTAATAATATATACCTTCCAGTGGCTCTGCTTCTCTGATTGAAGCTTGATGGATGAATGTGGTCCTGAGTCTGGTTCCAGAGGAAAAAAATCTTTAAGGATAGGCTCTCTAAATTGATTCTGGGTTATCTGGAACTGCTTTTCTTATCTTTCTTTCATAAAAATTCCTATACTTATTTAAAAGATTGAAGGCACCTATACAAAAATTAATACATTTTGGACAACAAACACAAACAAGGTTATTTAGATTATACTTACTAAGGACTGAATCAACATATTAAGACAGCTTTTCTGAATCTCAGGAGGTATATTAGCAAAGCTTCTCTCAGACCAACATCTTGCAAAATGCTTTACAATCCATCTGTTAAATCAAAGAATCCCAAGTTAGAAAAATGAAAATGATTTTCATAATATTTTCAATAATATCTTAGGTGTCAATTTTTTCAAATAGACTGTTGATTTTATGAGTTCTATAGTGAAACTTAACTATGCTTTCTTTTCTGTAAACACACACTTTAATCTATGTTGGATTTTATGCACAGATTTTAATATAACCATGATTCAGCTAAAATAAAACAGATCTCAAGTATCTTGATTAATATCTACATTGGTACTTTTTCTCAACTGGTGCAACTATTTAAGTGTTAAAATACCTACATTATGCTCAAGAAAATAGATGAAGTCTAAAATTATCCAAAAATTAAGAGAATTAAAGAAAACAACCCTAAATTAATACTAACTAACAGCACTAAAGCTTACTTACTTCATGCAGTCAGCAAAAAGACTTTCCACACCAACTGAATGAGCAATAATCAGGCATTCTAAAATAGATGTCAATCTTCTGGGAATAGGCTAAAATAGACAGAAAATACCACATTTATTATTTTCTAACTTACAGAGGCTGTAAGTATTTGTTTCATAAAGATGGTTTAATTTAGCTGCAGAATAAATATTTAATTCCAAAGTGTGCTATTCTCTTAAAATCAACTATCATTGATAATGTTTAGTTTCACACAATATCATTTGAGCTTTTTTTAGCGCCAGAATGTATACAATTTTTATTCTCATTTCTTTTGGATATATGTATATATATATATGGGTTATATTAGAAAAATGTGGCATCAGTATTGGTGGAAGACCCATTAACAACCTGTGATATGCAGATGATACAACGTTGCTTGCTGAAAGTGAAGAAGACTCTTAAAATATTACTGATGAAGATCAAAGAGCACACGGCCTTTGGTATGGATAACATCTCAAAGTAAAGAAAAAGCAAAATTCCTCACCACTGGACCAATAAACAACATTCTTACCAATGGAGAAAAGATAAGTTTTCAACGACTTCATTGTTCTTGGATCAACCATCAACACTCATGGAAGCAGCAGTCAAGAAATCAAACGACATATTGCATTAGGCAAATGTGCTGCACAAGACCTTTTTAAAGTGTTGAAGAACAAAGATGTCAGCTTGAAAACTAAGGTGTGCCTGACCCAAGCCATGGTATATTCAATAACCTCACATGCATGCGAAAGCTGGACAGTGAATAAGGAAGACCGTAGAAGAATTGATGCTTTTGAGTTATGGTGTTGGGAGAAGAATACTGAAAGTACCATGGGCTGCCAAAAAAACCAACAGATCTGTGTTGGAAGAAGTACAGCCACAGTGCTCCTTGGAGGCCAGGATGGCCAAACTTCGTGTCTCATACTTTGGACATATTGTCAGGAGGGACCAGTCGCTGGAGAAGGACATCATGTTTGGTAGGGTGGAAGGTCAGAGAAAAAGAGGAAGACCTCCAAGAAGATAGACTGGCAAAGTGGCAGCATTAATGGGCTCAAGCATGGCAACGATAGTGAGGTTGGCCCAGGATCAGGCAGTATTTTGTTCTGCTGTGCATAAGATCACTATGAGTCGGTACCAATGCTATGGCATCTAACAACAACAACAATAACAAAAATATATCTATATCTTTTGAATATATATGTTATTGTTGTTAAGCACTGTTGAACTGGTTCCAACTAATAGTGACTCTGTGTAGGGTTTCCAAGGAGTGGCTGGTGAGTTTGAGCTGACAACCTTGTGGTTCAAACCAATCTTGCAGTCCAGTGCATTATCCTGTAGCACTACACACACACACACAGAGCACTATCTCTCTCTCACACACACACATATATATATATATATCAAAAGAGGCGTAATAATTTCTAGAATATCACACTGCTACAACCATATGGTTTTTAATCTGTTTCCTACAGTATAAACATAATACAGTACATGTGTAACCTCAACTAAAAAGAAAATTTAACTGGATCAAAAGTTAACATTTTTTATGTGCATATATAGAAGTAATGAACTAAAACAAACAAACAAATGTAGATAAAAATAGTGATAGTAACTCACTGCTCTTGGTGTTGAACCCTCTGTGTTATATATTTCCCATGCCACGTGTTTTCAATTTGGGGACCATATTCCTAAGAACAGCTATTATGTAATTCAATTGAACCTAGTTCAACTTCTCATTGTATGCATCTATTAATTGTGATTTGGGATTTAACACTTAACAAAGACAAGTAATCTGCTAATTTGTTAATCTACTCTCCAAATAGATACTTTTCAGTACTTACTTTACTTTGAAAAAAGAACAAAAGATTCTTTAGAAATACCTTTAGCACAGTTCTTCTAAGAAGGTCAGTGATTTCTAACTTTTTTTTTTTTAAATGAATTACTTTACTTTGATTTTATAATACCCTTCCCTTAAAAGTGTTATATTAGCATTTATTTAAGAAGTGTGTAAGAAATACTTTATTTTGTATACTAGCAATTTAGTTACTCCCTTTGAGACAGTTAAAAGTATTTTAAGTTACTCTTAAAACAGGAATGATTATCACTGTATAATGGTGGTGGTGTCGTTTTTTGTTAATTGCTGTCAAGTCAGTTCTGACTCACAGCAGCCCTGTACAAGGTTTCTGAGGAATGGCTACTGGGTTTGAATCACTGAGCTTGCAGTTAGCAATCCAGTGCTTATCCTACAGTACTATGCCAGAAAAGTTCATTAACTGATGCATGACTTATGAAAAATATCCATAAAAATATTTCTTTGGAGGGAGGCTTTGAATGGCAGGGTCACCTTATGCAAATAAGCAGAGCCCAAAGTGGTAGTAGGGAGATGTCCTTGGCCTTGCTTTCATTCAGATGCTGGTGGCCTCTGTTGATGTGTGACTTTTGGAGGCAGATCAAGCTTCATTCTGGCCTTTCTGTGGATACAGAATCTTGTGATCCCCAATACTTCTTGAGACAGGGCATAGTGTCATTTAGCCCTCAATCAGTCTCTTCTAACCTTCAAGCTCCTTCATGTAACCTTGTGATCCTCCTCCTTACCTGAGGACCATGTGCAACTAGGGTGTGGGATCAACTCCCTATCATTTTTTTCTTTATACAACAACAATTGTAGTCCCTTATCACTGTTAAAAAGGAGCTTTGGTAGCATAGTGGTTACGAATTGGTCTGCGAACCTTAAGGTCAGCGGTTCAAAACTACTAGCCACTCCGCGGGAGAAAGATGAGGCTTTCTACTCCCGTAAAGATTTACACTCTCAGAAACCCTGTACAGGGTCGCTATGGGTTGGAACCGACTCGATGGCACTTAACAACAACAACAACATCACTGTTAAAACGAGCTCTGGTAGCGTAGTGGTTATGAATCGGGCTGTGAACCACAAGTTTAGCAGTTTGAAACTACCAGCTGCTCCATGGGAGAAAAATAAGGCTTTCTGCTCCTGTAAAAATTTACAGACTTGGAAACCCTGTTTAGGGTTGCTATGGGTCAGAACTGACTCGACGGCACTTAACAACAACAACAACATCACAGTGAAGAAGTCCTGGTGGTACTGTAGGATAAGCACTGGACTGCTAACCACAACGTTGGCAGTTCAAACCCAACAGTTGCTCCATAGGAGAAAGATGAGGCTTTCTGCTCCTGGAAGTATTTACAGCCTCAGAAACTGTATGGAGTCCTGGTGTGGTGCTGCAGTTTAATGCGCTGGACTACAAGGTCGGTCTGAACCACAATGCTGGCAGTTCAAGCTCACCAGCCACTCCTCAGAAACCCTATACAGGGTCACTATGAGTTGGAACTGACTTGATGGCATTAAACAACATGAGTTGAAATCAACTCAATGGCAGTAGTTTTATTATCAGCTAGCACTTGCTTCTCCAGCAAGCTTCTTCCTTTAGAAATCTGTGTGTTCAAGTATACTCCCACTGGCTTCTGAGGACATATTCCAAGAAATCCCATACCACTTTTTTTTTTTCATAGAAAAGATAAAAGTCTATCTTGGGATAAAAAGATATTATCTCCTCATCGCAGACACTCCATCTTTACTTCCTTGCTTTCATTTGCCTGGGAAGGTTGGTGGAGTCATAAGAAGGAAAAGGAAAGTCTTTCACTTTCCCATTCTCCATAAACCTGAAGACACCACAGACTGCTTCCTTTCTATCCGTCTTTTTACTTAAAGGACTATAAAGGTAAGTGAGGTATTTAACTGTTTCTTAGTAAACTTAAGGAGTCCTGACGTGGTGCCCTAGGAGAAGCACTCGACCTGAAGGTCGGTTTGAGCTTCAGGATCAGCGGTTCAAATTTACCAGCTGCTCCTCAGAAATCCCATACTAGGTCGCTATGAGTCAGAACCATGGCACTTAACAGTAACTACGACATTAACCTTGGAGGTGCGACAGTAATGGTGTTGGGTCCAGTTGTTCATGTTCTCTGTAACACATGGGCGTATTGAGTGGCTCTTTTTAAACAGCTGCAACTTATAGGGAGACAGGAAAAATCCTATGCAGCGCATATCTAAACTTAAATGTCAAACTATTTAATATCAGAACCCATACAATGTATATTACTGCCTCTCAAGTACCCAATAAGAAGGAAATGTTGATGTAAACTATTCTTTGAGGATTTATTTTTAGTTAGGTATGAAACTAATATATCCTGTTGTTGTTAAGTGCCATCTAGTCAGTTCCAACTAACAGCAACCCTCGATAAGGTTTCCGAGGAGCAGCTGTTGGATTCGAATCACCGATCTTGTTGGCAGTCCAGTAGTTTATTCTACAAGTTGTAGAAAATTTAGAAAAGGTAAAAAAGTATAAATAAGAAAACAAAAATAATCTATAACCCCATAGTAAAATCAAAACAATGGATAAACTAAGACTAATGTATAAAATGACTCTGAAATATACAGTTTTAGACAATAAATTTACATTTGCATAAACTAAAAGGAAAAATGGTACTTCCTATGCATACCCCACCCAGGGAGAGGTAGACAAGACCTGTACTCTGCCCCAAGTACATGATATAAACAAAGGTGACAGGAAAAGGAGGAAACTTTCAGGGAAGAAAACAGATGAAGCACTGTGTAACCCCCTGGTTAATGGAGACCGTAACCTTGGATCTTTCTCCTACTCCCAAGCCCACAGTCCCCACCTTTGAATTATATCAGATATTCCTATATCCTTTTAACAAACTCCTATCTCAATTTAAATTACTTTAAATTAGTTTTTTTTTTCCCCCTAAGTGTACCATATGAGCTATTTCTCAATTGGAATTCTCATCAGTGGCAATGAGTTAATATTTTTAATATCTAAAGTACTATTTACTATTGAATTAAAAAATTAACCGATATTAATGGGTAACTTTAAGCACTGGGTAAAAGATTTCTCAGACTCAATAATTACCTTTTGAAAGAAATTACAGTAATCTCTTCTTAAAATATAGATCGCTACTTCTTTTAATCCTTCTAGTCCATACATATCAGCCACATTGAGTATCTGACTAAAATAAAAAATACATTCACTGTTATTTCTCTAATTTAAAAACAAATAGATAATAACAATACTTTCTCTGATAATAATCTATTTAGGAAAAATCTGAATTGTTTTAATTCTAACTTTTTCTCCTGCAAAATAGACACTGTTGTTGTTAAGTGCTGTTGGGTCAGTTCTGACCCACAGTGACCCTATTATAGGGTTTCTGAGGAATGATGGTGAGATTGAACTGCCGATCTTGAGGTTTAAACCGACTATGCAGTTCAGCGCATTAACCCACAGTGCCACACCAGGATTCCAAAATAGATACTCTTTATTAATTATAAAAAATACATGGCAAACAGTTGAAAGTACTGTCATATGATGTGATTAATAAAGAATAACAAAAGGTAGATTCAAAGATGTTTCAGTCAACTGTCTTTCATATTATTAGTCCTGGAGACTATCTTATTTCGAAGGCAGTAGGAGTTTCAAAATTCTTTGCAACAAATCTGTATAATTAGTTTGAGGAAGGAGGTAATTCACTGATACTTTTCATACTATACACAGCTAAAAATGACCCTAGCATTCAGTGACTCAGAAAGTATCAGTTGCTTCTTTCAGTTGTGAAATATTTTTAAATAATCTACACATACTTTCATGACCTGGTGTGGCACTGGACTGCTAACCACAAGGTCGGTGATTCAAACCCACCAGCTGCTCCTTGGAAACCCTATACAGGGTCACTATGAGTCGGAAGCGACTCGACAGCACTTAACGACGACACATACCTTAGGTATTTAGAAAATCTACAAGCTTTGGGTTGTTGTTGTTAAATGCCTTGAAGTTACTTCTGACTCACAGCGACCTTGTTTAGGGTTTCTGAAGAGTGGCTCGTGAGTTTGAACTGCCAACCCTACAGTTCAAACTGACCTTGCAGTCCAATGCATTATCCTGCAGCACCATACCAGATTCCTACTTCACTATGGTGGTGGCTGTGTGCCGTGGAGTCGTTTCTGACTCATAGTGACCCTGTACAGGATTTCCAAGACTGTAAGTCTTTACAGGAGCAGAACACCTCATCTTTCTCCTGCAGAACAGCTGGTAGTTTCAAACTGCTAACCTTGTGGATCACAGCTCAATTCGTAACCACTACGCTATAGAGCACTTAAAAAGCACATCACTGGCAGTCTTTAGAATATCTATATTGTTCAATTTGATTTACGGTTTTCTTTTTTTGTTTAAAAAAGACAAAAATTTACAAAATAAATTAGTAAATTAATTGAAGCTTGATTGATATATTAAATTTTTTATACACTTGTCATTTATTTTCAAAAACAAAAATAAGTTTCTTCTACTTTCCTGGTGTGGCGCTATGGGTCAATGCGCCAGACTGCAAAGCCATTTGAATTGCAAGGTAGGCAGTTCAAGCTCATCAGATGCTCCTCGTAAACACTATACAGGGTCGCTATGGGTCAGAACCAACTCAACGGCACTTAACAACAACAACAAACCTTGAGTTAAGTCTAATAAAAGACTTTTCAAACTCTTATTCTTACTGTGAATTGCTAAAACTTTTCTTCTAAATAAGGAAAGTGACTTGCTTATTTTTTTCAACTATTTCTAAACACACAAAAGATATAGCAAAATAGATCATAAAACCGGTTCTACTTCATGGACATTTCACAATATACTACAATAAGGCAGAAGCTAAGAAGTATTAACACTGTTCAAATTTATTAAAAAGCAATACATACCCAACATTAGCTTTGTCTGGAAAGTCCAAAGTTCCTCCATACATAAAATACATCATAACATTCATTTCTACCTGGTTTATCCTGAAATTAAATAAAAACAAACTGAACTCCAACTCAGAAATAACTAAGTTTAGCTGTTACTATGATATATTCTATGCTCCCCATAAACTTGCAGCCAAAATAAATTCTAATCTCACAAATACCTGAAGAATATGTTCTTTAAATATCATCTGTACAAATATACCATTAATTTAAAAGAAAGTATAACTGCAGCAAAGGATATTTATACAGTATCAAATGTTACTAGGATAATATTAAATCACTTATTATTTATTGAACATCTTCTATCATATACCTGAACTCTATATAATTAACATAGGCTGTTCATGTTCTTAAATGCTTTCTTTTATACTTATTTCATCTTCCAAAAATGAGACATGCAGTTCTTTATCGGATTGTTTCCTTAATATACTTCAAGGTAACAAAAGAAAAAAAAAAATCACTGAATTTTAAAGAACAATAATAATTAACATCTATAAAAGTGTTCTAGGAGCTCTGGTAGCGTAGTGATTACAAATCGGGCTGTGAACCGCAAGGTCAGCAGTTCGAAACTACCAGCTATTATACACAAGAGAAAGATGAGGCTTTTTGCTCCTGTAAGGATTTACAGCCTTGGAAACCCTGTGCAGGGTCGCTATGAGTCGGAACCGACTCCATGGCACTTAACAACAACAACAACATAAGTGAGTTCTGTTAGTGTGGCTGGCTGTGTGCCGTGGAGTTGGTTCCGACTCATAGCGACCCTGCACAGGGTTTCTGACACTGTAAATCTTTACGGGAGCAGAAAGCCTCATCTTTCTCCTGTGTAAAAGCTGGTAGTTTCGAACTGCTGACCTTGCAGCCCACAGCCCGATTCGTAATCACTACGCTACCAGAGCTCCTTGTACTTAAAGATATATCTTGAAATTCTGTTTTTGACAATGTACTTGTTCTCAAGCAGAAATATGTTTAACTGTACTTTACTGACTATGCAAAGACTTTTGACCGTGTGGATAATGACAAGCTATGGATAACATTGCAAAAAAAATGGGTATTTCAGAACACTTAATTGTGCTCATGAGGAACCTGTACATAGACCAAGCAACAGTCATTTGAACATAACAAGGTTACACAGACGGGTTTAAAATTTAGAAAGATATGTGCCAGGGATGTATTATTTCACCATACTTATTCAATATGTAAGGAGCTTTGGTAGCATAGATTAAATCACCGGTGGAACAGTGATTAAACATTTGACTGCTAAATATTTCTAACCCACCAGCCACTCCATGGGAGATAGATGTGGTACTCTGCTTCTGTAAAGATTTTACGGTCCTTGAAACCTTCTGGGGTAATTCTACTCTGTCCCACAGGGCTGCTATAAATTGGAATGGACCTAAAGGCATTGGGCTTGTTTTTGTTTTGGTTGTTGTTGTTATTGTTAAGTGCCATCGAGTTGATTCCAACACATAGCGACCCTGGATAGGGTTTCCAACGAGCAACTGGTGAGCTAGACCCTCCAACCTTGCAGTTCAAATGGCTTTGCAGTCTGCACAGCACCACACCAGGACTCTGGCTCATAATAAATGTTTTGGTTACTGAACATTTATTATGAGCCAGATACTGTGATAATAAGCATTTTGGATGCCCTTATCCCTTTTAATCATCATAACTCCAAGAAGTAGATGTTATCAGTATCATTTTATGGATGAAGAAACTGAAATTAAGTAACTTGCCTTAGGTCAAATAACTAGTGATACATTGGAATTTAAATCCAAGCAGATTAACTCAGAACCTGGGCTCTTAACCAGCATGCTATCCACGCTTCCACTGTCATGCTTATCAAACTGACTTAGAAGATCTTATTGACATACTTGTCTTTTCTTCGACACTGAATATTGTGAGGCTTGGATATGTATCTTATATATCCTGATATCTCCAGTGCCACCAGAATGTCAACACTGATTCAATGTTCCAAGGACCAGGAGAATTTTCTTTTCCCAAAAATACACCACAGTTCTGCACTGGAAGCAGGGTAGGAAGAGGGATGATAAGACCCCACAGTCAGGCATACTACCGAGTATTTGTTAAGGGAACAAATCAAGGAAGGTAAGAAGAAAAGAAACAAGTCCCAAAGAGTAGAAATGAGAAAGGAGTTTGCTTTGATTCTCTTGCCTTATATAATGAATGCAAATAAATATTGGAAGAGTTAATTAATGGTGCATTAGAGCATTTATAGCATCTTTCTAAACCATCATGACTGAAATAAATAAATATTTTCCCATTAATTTAATAAATATGTACTAGTCCCTACTATGACTAGATACTGGTATCTGCTGATTCAAAACTCTGTGCCTCTTTAATAGACATTCTCATTTATATATTTTACTTCCTTACTAAATGGACAGGACAAGACTTGATCTCACAATTGAGTCATATTACCTGTATTTTGTTTATCTAAAACACTAGTATAATTACTATAACATATTCCATATACCTTTTTTCCCAGATTCTGAAGAACCATTCTTTTCAACACTAATGAGAATTGGGCCTTTATGTGTAAAGCATGGTTTCTTTTTAAGACTTGACATGCTTAAGCAAAAGGTAGTAATGACTAAATAAAAATAAAAGTTGTTTTATCATAACAAACATCAAAATATAAACATTTGAGCCTATATATCAATATATATGATAGCTATTAAAGCAGCAGGAAATTGTTCTCCTGCTGTCTTGACAGATGTTTCACTACACTGCATTCTCATTATTATGTTGTAAGTCATTTGTATTTTTACTAAAAGTGCTTATAAAGACACGATCAACTGACCTAGAAAAAAAACAACAAGCTACTCCAGTAGTCTACAATTTAAATGAAAATATTTAAAGCACTATTCCCATTAAAATGTAATCAAAATAAAAGCTTATAGGGGTTGAAAATATTACATGTACTCGGAGGGAAGGAATATGAGAGGGCAGAAATTTGAGATCCAACGAACAAATAACTAAACTACAACAACAAAAACCCTACAAACTCATTACTGCCAAGTTGCTTCTGATTCATAACAACCCTACAGAGCAGAGTAGAACTGTTCCAAAGGGTTTCCAAGGTTGTAATCTTTACAGAAACAGACTGCCACACCTTCCTCCCTTGGAGAGGCTGTGGTTGTTGTCATTGTTAGGTGCCTTCAAGTCGGTAACGACTCATAGCAACCTTATGCACAGCAGAATGAAACACTGCCCGATCCTGGGCCAACCTCACTACTGTTGCCATGCTTGAGTCCAGCGATGCTGCCACATGGCCAATCCATCTTGTTGGGGGTCTTCCTCTTTCTCTCTGACCTTTCACCTTACTAAACATGAGATCCTTCTCTAGCGACTGGTCCCTCCTGACAATATGTCCGAAGTATGAGAGACAAAGTTTGGCCATCCTGACCTCCAAAGAGCACTCTGGCTGCACTTCTTCCAAAATGGATCTATTGGTTCTTTTGGCAGCCCATGGCACTTTCAATATTCTCCTTCAACACCATAACTCAAAAGCATCAATTCTTGTTGATATTGTGTGTCGCTGGTGGTGTTGTTGAGTACCGCTGAGTCGGTTCCGACCCATAGCGACCCTGTGTGTCGTTGAGTCGGTTCCAACTCACAGAGACCCTATCCAGAGTTTCTGAAGAGAGGCAGTGGGTTTGAACCACCTACCTTGTAGTTAGCAGCCTGGTGTTAATCCTACAGGGCCATACCTAGCCTACTGAAATGTTTGTACTTTAATTGTGCTTCCTAAAGTTTAAGACTCCTATTTATGGGCTGGTATGGCTGCGTGCTGTAGGTTAATGCGCCAGACTGCAAAGCCGTTTGAACTGCAAGGTCAGTGGTTCAAGCTCACCAGCTGCTCCTGGGAAACGCTATACAGGGTCACTATGGGTCAGAACCAAGTTGACGGCAGTTAAGAACAACAACAGCAACATGGCGCTATAGGGTAAGCAGTTGACTGCAAGTTCAGTTTGAATGATAAGGCTGACAGTTCAAACTCACCAGCTGCTCCCTGAAAACCCGAAACAGGGTCACTATGGTTTGGAATAGACTTGCTGGGACAACAACATGTATGGGATAAAATATGCATAGGGACTTCATTCATTCACATTAAATATTTATTGAATAATAGGCTGTATTCTAGGCTTCAACCTGTATGCTGAACAAATCACCCGAGAAGCTGGGTTCCATGAAAAAAAACGTGGCATCAGGATTGGAAGAAGACTCATTAACAACCTGTGATATGCAGATGATA